AACGCACACCTTAAACGCATCGAAGCAAAATATGAAGGTTTATAATGATAACAGAATCATGGCAATAATAATGCATCACAAAGCAAAGTCCTGATCGTCACTCTTACTATCAAGACTTTCACTCAATCAGCACAATGTGTTCTTGCAAGAATAAGAACAGAAAGCAGTTGTGTTAGACAACAGGATGTTGGCACAGTGTTGGCTGTGAGTTGGAAACCACAGTATCTCTGCAGAGGTCTGGGATCTTCAGCCTGCTTTCATCTGCAGGATTGCAACACTTCAGATAAGCTTGAATCTCAGGGAGATTCTGTCCTTATATGTAGGTGGTTCCTCTGGCGTCTCTGAATCCTCCCTAAAGTCCAGCAGTGTGAAGCACAATGAGCTCAAACACAGACCTGCAGCTGCAGCAGGAATCATTTCATCAGGCAAAATGCAGCAGCTCCAGTAAACACTGTTTGCCAGATAACATCATTACCAAAAGGCTAAGCTGAGAATACAGTTTCATTTTCCTTCAGACCATCATTCAGGAAAATAGATGAAGTATCATTTTGTTATCTTTTGTTTCTTTTCAGCTAGAAGAACGACTTGAGTTCAGACTCAGCTGTTTCACTGAGCAGCAACAGCCTCATGCTGCAGTGAGAAGAAACGTTCCAAGAAAAACAGAACCAAAGACAAAGGCTGAAGCAGAGCCTTTGAAAAATCCTGTTCCTTTGTGTCTTTCTTTTCGTAATAATTGAATAATAAATTCACATAAAATCTGTAAAAAGAGAAATTATTTACCAGGCTTATCATCATAGCGATAAATCATGATCTTATCAATATGGTGATCCCCAACCTTTTCATTACCGTGGACCGGACCGGACCAACCGGACTGGACCGGACCAACCGGACCAACCGGACCGGACTGAACCGGACCAACCGGACCGGACTGAACCGGACCAACCGGACCGGACTGAACTGGACCAACCGGACCGGACTGAACCGGACCAAACCGGCCCAACTGGACCGGACTGAACCGGACCAACCGGACCGGACTGAACCGGACCAACCGGACCGGACTGGACTGGTGGACCAGACCGGACTGGACTGGAGTGGACCAACCGGACCGGACTGGACTGGAGTGGACCAGACTGGACTGGACTGGAGTGGACCAGACCGGACTGGACTGGAGTGGACCAACCAGACTGGACTGGACTGGAGTGGACCAGACCGGACTGGACTGGAGTGGACCAGACCGGACTGGACTGGAGTGGAGTGGACCAGACCGGACTGGACTGGAGTGGACCAGACTGGACTGGACTGGAGTGGACCAGACCGGACTGGACTGGAGTGGACCAGACCAGACTGGACTGGACTGGAGTGGACCAGACCGGACTGGACTGGAGTGGACCAGACCAGAGTGAACCAGTCAAGACTTGGTAATTTTGCTGCAGCCTGGCAGGAGGTGTGGAGAGAAGTAAGACAACATGTTTTCCCACTAAACCCTTTTTCTTTTTTGCCCTGATTTTCCCTTTTCAACAATCTGACAATGCCCTGCAGTGTGTGGTTTGTTACCTGGTAGTGTGTTACCTGGTGGTGTGTTACCTGGTGGTGTGTTACCTGGTGGCTTGTTACCTGGTGGCTTGTTACCTGGTGGTGTGTTACCTGGTGGTTTGTTACCTGGTGGTTTGTTACCTGGTGGTGTGTTACCTGGTGGTTTGTTACCTGGTGGTGTGTTACCTGGTGGTTTGTTACCTGGTGGTGTGTTACCTGGTGGTGTGTTACCTGGTGGCTTGTTACCTGGTGGCTTGTTACCTGGTGGCTTGTTACCTGGTGGTGTGTTACCTGGTGGCTTGTTACCTGGTGGCTTGTTACCTGGTGGCTTGTTACCTGGTGGTGTGTTACCTGGTGGTGTGTTACCTGGTGGTGTGTTACCTGGTGGCTTGTTACCTGGTGGTGTGTTACCTGGTGGTGTGTTACCTGGTGGCTTGTTACCTGGTGGCGTGTTACCTGGTGGTGTGTTACCTGGTTGTGTGTTACCTGGTGGTGTGTTACCTGGTGGCTTGTTACCTGGTTGTGTGTTACCTGGTTGTGTGTTACCTGGTTGTGTGTTACCTGGTGGCTTGTTACCTGGTTGTGTGTTACCTGGTTGTGTGTTACCTGGTGGCTTGTTACCTGGTTGTGTTACCTGGTTGTGTGTTACCTGGTGGCTTGTTACCTGGTTGTGTGTTACCTGGTGGTGTGTTACCTGGTGGCTTGTTACCTGGTTGTGTGTTACCTGGTTGTGTGTTACCTGGTGGCTTGTTACCTGGTGGCTTGTTACCTGGTGGCGTGTTGAATATGCGTATATTCAACATGGCTGCCTGCAGGGTTTTCCCTGACTGAACGCAACCTGTTGAATGTGACAAAGAGCCAATCAGAAAGCCCGTAAGAGCGGAGGGGAATCCCAAACAGTTGACATGGGAACAGAGAGTCCAGTGCACATCCGAGGTGATATGTGGAAATGTTTATTACTATAGGTAATAGTGATATTTTTGTATACGTTTATTATATGTGGTTATGTTTATTCAGTTAAAAATGTTAACTACGAAAAACCAGAACTCAGTGCAGCAAACAGAGCAGCTGCTCCTTTTATCAAACACCTTTTCTTTTTGTTCTGTCCTGAGTTACGGTTTGAGGTGGAGAGGCAGATCACTGCCACCCAGGCTGAAATGAATGATGATGATTTTAATGATGAAATAGTCCAATAATAAATAGTCCAACAATCAGGCGGCACAGCTGAGCAGAAACAAAGGCTCAACAACAACCGATAGAATGGACAGCAGGAAGGACAGACTGACTGACTGGTACGACCAACGACCAGGACCTGATGAAGACTCAATGAGACAGGTGATGCTAAGCACTAGGAGGTAATCAGGGAACGAGACACACCTGGGAGGAATGAAGGAGGAGACGGGAAAGACACAGAAACTTGAAATAAACACACAGGAAAACAGATCCTGACAGTTTCCTCTTTTATCGTTTAAAACGATCCACAAACTATCACTGCTGCTCCTACATTGTGTTTGATTATTGTAAATTCACTGTGGGATGTTGGGGTTTCACTGGATCTTGTTCTGGAACCGGGACGCTCAGTGGAACCGGGACATTAAGTGGAACCAGGACGCTCAGTGGAACCGGGACATTCAGTGGAACCGGGACGCTCAGTGGAACCGGGACGTTCAGTGGAACCGGGACATTCAGTGGAACCGGGACGCTCAGTGGAACCGGGACGCTCAGTGGAACCGGGACGTTCAGTGGAACCGGGACGTTCAGTGGAACCGGGACGTTCAGTGGAACCGGGACGTTCAGTGGAACCGGGAAGCTCAGTGGAACCGGGACGTTCAGTGGAACCGGGACGTTCAGTGGAACCGGGACGTTCAGTGGAACCGGGACGCTCAGTGGAACCGGGACGTTCAGTGGAACCGGGACGTTCAGTGGAACCGGGACGTTCAGTGGAACCGGGACATTAAGTGGAACCGGGACGCTCAGTGGAACCGGGACGTTCAGTGGAACCGGTTCTGGTTCTGTGTTGCTCCTGGACTCTCAAACTGACCGAACCTCTTGGACTTTTATCGGCTCTGAGGTCACAGAGGTTTGGGAAATCAGCCAACGATCCTTAAACCAACCGGACCTAAAACTCACATCTCCACTCCTCTTGACCTCTGACCTCACGCTCTCCGACTCTGGTCGCTATAGTAACAGTTATGAATCCCTTCAAAATAAGATGCAGATGCGCCACAAAACGAACATTTTGCTTTAATGAACATTTTAACTCAGATTATCGACTGATGGACCCTGAGCTGTTTCTCCATCTGGGAGACGAGAGACGCTGAAGTGATGCTGATGCTGAGGGAGACACCTGGTCTCCATGGTGACGCAGTTGAAGCTTCATTGGCTCGTTAACATCCGGTCACCTGATCCTTCCTCTACTTCAGTGGTTACATGCAGGACATTACGTTTCCCCGTCTTTATGGAGGTTTCTACACATTTTCTTGTGGCTACAGTAAAAAGTTAATCAGCTGACTTGGCACAGAGGCACCTGGAGGACAGGCTTATTGAATATATATATACTAATATATGTATTAACTGTTTGTTGGGTTAACACTCATGAACAAGTAATTCGATCTAGAGCTACGATCTCAAACTGCACACAGTGTCTGAGCTTCTCTTGGCTTTTGAGAACTCTGGTGATCCCTGCACAGGATTTCACTGTCAGTTCTTGGCTCAGTTGCTGTCATGCCCACTTTCTTCCAAACCTATTCTGTCGTGTGACTCCATAGAGCCACCAGTCTGGAGTTTACAGGCTCCTGATTCCATGTTTTGTTCTTTAACAAGAAGCAGCTGAGGTGCTGGGTGCATTACGCCTGTTGGCATGAAGGTAACTGGAACACCTGGACTCAAGGACCTGGAAGGTGGATCCCATATGTTTGGCAATATATTGAATATATATATTAAAGCTTTGCTGTTGTGCTTGATGCTGATAATTTAAGCACACTAAATTATTATTGGAAAATCGGCCAACGATCTTTAAACCATGAACCAGACCTAAAACTCACAAGCTCCTCTCATCTCGTCTTGACCCCTGACCTAACGCTCCCTGACTCTGTTTGCTGTGGTAACCGTTACGAATCCGTGACTAAACACATGTATCTTCTTTCTCCACTGTGTAATTATTCAAGCTTTTCCTCTTCTGTTACTGGCAAAGCTGCTGGAGCGCAAACAGGATTGATTTATTCCGATTTCAATAACTAATCTGAATTTCCTGAAAGTGGGAAAAGTTAAGCTTCATTGTGTGTTTAGGTGAATGGATGACCCAGCTCACTGTTGCATGAAATTACAGGAAAAAGTCCCAATTGTTCCATAAAACCAGTTCTGCAATTGCCTCATTGCTCCAAACTGAAGAACACAACCCTTCACCTGCAGCACCTCCCTGCTCACACAGCTGTATTTAAGATGCTGCAGGTGAACGTGAGCTGCATGGACGTTGTGCTGGGAGTGTGATGATGGCCTCCACAGCGCCGCTCCTCCTCCAGCTGCTCCTGCTGACCGCCGCCGTCTCAGCGTTGCAACACTGGGGAGGAACCATGAACATCGCCTACAAAGGAAGAAACCCTGACGGATCCTTCAGGGTTGAGAACAATCATTTTAAATCTATAGCAGCTTATTTATCTAAAATCTGTCATCTTCTTGTCTCAGTAGGAGAAATTATGAACACATTCTGCTTATGTTTCCCACAAAGATCTGATGTTTTTTTCTTCAAATTACCATAAAAATGTTGTATATTTAAATACATTTTACTTTCAGCCTTTAGCAAAAATACTTTATATGTAAATTGTGCAACAGAAGGTAAAAATTCAATATATTGTATAAAGTTTGTTGTCGAAGAAACTCAGTTTTTTAATTTTTATAAACAAAATGTGATTTTTTTTGGTTAGATTTTATATGCTGACATTTTTAATTCACTTGCTAAAATATTGATCCATTAATTATTTAATTAAATAAAAACTGGTTGATAGACTCATTAGTGACTAACTGAAAAACTGATCAAATTACTCGATAAATTGATTGAATGGTTGCTGGAATCAATAACTGATTGATTCCTAGATTCATTGATTATCCAGTCAACTGTCTGAATGATTGATTAGTTTCATTCTTTGTATGATTGTTTGATAAGTGAACAAATAAGAACTTGTGATAAGAATTTAAGCATAAATGGTTTCCATGCCTAAACGACTGAATATAAAGTATTTTGTACATTTTGCTTCTGATTTAATGCTCGACATTTTCAAACCTTTAATCATCTAAACATGCACATTTAAGCCGATGTGTGAATTTAGAAATGGATCAGTTAGTTTCATAAACTATGCTACATTTCTAGCTTCAGTTTTGTTTGGTTTATGGATAATAAAAAAACAGATTCTTTGCATGAAAATGTTGCTTTATCTTTTGCTTGTTTATGTTTTTTTCTCACCAGCTGTCTCTCCGGACCAGAGCGACTTCTGATACCTGCGATTACTCCCACTACTGGTTCTGTCCCAGTGGGAACTGTTCCCTCCCCACCAGCAGAGTGTTGTCTCCGATCGACAGCAGCGCAGATGGGAACCAGTGGTGTGAAGCAGAAAACATCGAGAGCTGGAGTCTCCCTTCTGACAAACCGGTGAAGCTCAGGTGAACGTTTTCTTCTCATCGAAACAAAGACCAGTTGATATAATTGATCATTTTGGTGCCGAGCTTTAAATGAATGAATGTGTGCTGCAGGGCGGCGAGCTGCTGCTGGGCCTCAACGCGTAACTCTGTCAGCAGCTGGAGGCTCAACACACTGGTGGATCTGGGAGTGAGGTCAGACACCAGAAAACCAAACAAATCCCCAAACACTGCCGTCCTCCCCTTCATCAGGTAGTTATCCTGCTATTCCACTTTTCCAAACCTTTGTTTTTCAATAAATCACTAACTTTTGGTCTAAGTTTGACCAAAAGACAAAGAGAAAATACATTTAGGATAAATACTCCAAAAAGTTACCATAGTGCAAACTGCTCAGCAAGCACTTTGAAGATGTGTCTGGATCCACATTTGAATCAAAATAATTCTCTTTTCACAGGTAGTTTAGTTTGTTAAATAACGCTTTTATTTACAGACGTATGATTTTATGTTTGCTAAGCTACTGATGTTGCTCATACTTAAACCTTGTGTTGTATAAAGAGATTGTTTGCAGAAGATTATTTACAATCTTTTGGAATCTGTTGAAGAGTTCCTCAGAACTGCCCGAGAACGTACAACCTGCCCTCGTTTGATGCAGACGGAGACCGGGTCCGGTGCCGGTACCAGAACCTCCCAAACACAGAATGTGACAACTGCAACTCCATCTCAGGTTTTCAACTTGATCGGGTGAGCTGGGAGGTTCCTTCACACTTTCAGGAGTTCCAGTAACAGATGACTGCCTTCCATAATCTGTGTTTTAACTTTGTCAGGATTCTTGCCGGTTGAGCTTCCAGTCCGCCGAGGCTGATCACAGAGTTTTTGGGTTTGAGATGGTAGTAGAAGACTTTCCACGACGCTCTATCGATCTGTTCTACTCAGACGGGTCGAAAGCTCGCAAGTTCCCACTGATTACAAGGATGAAGAGGAAAGTAGAAGCTGTGATCTCTGTGGTGACTGTGGGGGACCAAATCCAAACAGGTGCAGCAGAAACCGGACAGTTTACTGCTGACCCAGAAACCTCTGCCTCCTGGAGGCAACGGTCAACTCCTGCAGCAACCGAAATATCAGCCACACTGGAAACTACTGACCCCTTCTGGTTGTGGTGGAGAACAACTTCAACTGCACCAACAATTACAAAACCAACTTCTACTGCACCAACAATTACAAAACCAACTTCAACTGCACCAACAATTACAAAACCAACTTCAACTGCACCAACAATTACAAAACCAACTTCAACTGCACCAACAATTACAAAACCAACTTCAACTACACCAACAATTACAAAACCAACTTCAACTGCACCAACAATTACAAAACCAACTTCAACTGCACCAACAATTACAAAACCAACTTCAACTGCACCAACAATTACAAAACCAACTTCAACTGCACCAACAATTACAAAACCAACTTCAACTGCACCAACAATTACAAAACCAACTTCAACTGCACCAACAATTACAAAACCAACTTCTACTGCACCAACAATTACAAAACCAACTTCAACTGCACCAACAATTACAAAACCAACTTCAACTGCACCAACAATTACAAAACCAACTTCAACTGCACCAACAATTACAAAACCAACTTCAACTGCACCAACGACAACAACTTCAACAAACTTCAACAACTCGGCAAAAACTCCTGCTGCAACCATTACCCCACGGCGTGAGACGTGGACAACTACGTCATCTCGACTGCAAAGTACAACCCACCAAGAGACAAATATTTCCCCCATCAGTGAATTACCACTTCAGTTCGCTTTTCTTGGTAAGAAAGGTTTAATTGTTTCTAATGAGGTTCTGACACGATTTATAATGTTGCAGATATTTTAAAAATGTAAATATATTGTAGATGTTTTCTGCACCGTTGCTCTAAACCAACACCAAGTGATCAAGATTTTGCAGAAATGAAAGTGAGCAAATTTGAAGATAAAAGTTAGATTTTAAGGTATTCTAGGTAAAAAGTCTCCATAATGTGATTGTTGTGCATCCATGTAAACTTTGGAAAATATTTATTTTTAGTTTAAGAATATCTTCAACAATCCTGTACTCAGTACAACCTGCATAGACTTCATACTCCAGCTTCCTCCCTCAATCCAAATTGGTTGAATGTCCAGTTGGTCACTCAAATTAGATACAAATAAATACATTTCAAATTAGAGCCAAACTGTAAAGTGTGAAACCTCCACCCCTGTTGGGCCTTCAACACTTCTCCTGCGTTTTTCACATTTAACTTTAGTTCCTGTCTTCTTCCATTGTGCAGTGGATCCTCCTGTTCCTTCATGTCAGGACGGACTCTACCTGCCTCGCCTTGTGGCTCCAACACCTTCAGACGGAGAGCGAATCGTAGGAGAGGTCGAGAAAGAGCTGGAGGTCAGAGTCATGGCACAAGCCACACAGTCAGCGTAAGTTAGAACCAGTTCACCGCTGGCTGGTCCGTAACAACCAGTGTTGGACAAATTAACTTTAAAAAATAACTAAGTGACTGAGTAACTAGCCAAACTGCAACTAGCCATAAACATCAACAACTTAACTAATGGCTCCATCACCTCAGCAAAACTGACAAAGACAATAAAGAATCACACAGGATGCAGTCAGCAGAGAATCAGAGGGTGAAGCCATTCAGAATGCAGACATATTGATGCTGAATCCTTCTCGTCTTAAACTCTCTGCTCAGACGCATCATGAACGTTTTGTGTTACGGTGAGATGATCTGACAGGGCTTCTGCAGGTTTCAGCAGACGTTTTAAGTCCTTTAGCAACCAAGCAAAGGTATGCTAACAGCTAGTTATCGATGGAATAAACCTCATCGAGTCACAGAATGAAACGCAGATATCTGTGTGCAACTGGAAAAAACTCAACAGTCCTGCCTCGGCAAAATTCAAGACCCGTGATTGAAGTATTCAAGCTGAAATGTGATGGGAACTGATTCTCCTGTCAGATGAAAGCTGCTTCACATTTTATTATCAATGCAATTCAATTATTTCAAGCTCCAACTGCTGGGAATAACACAATAACCTCTGCATTACTTTTTTATTCAGGATATTTAATCTGGTTTTAAGTGGGCCAACGAACGTCACCAAACACAGAGACACAAAAACCGAATTCGTCATCAGATGGACGCCGACTGCAGACGACCTGGGAGATTTTCACCCCATCTGCTTCGCTGTGGAATCAGTGAATGGGTGAGTCCAGGATTTATTGGTGTTAAAAGAAATTCATGATGAATAAATGAAACCATAATGGATGTTTATATTTAGTTTAGCTTTTAAACAGATTTATAGTCGTGCCCTCAAGAATGACTGAAAATAATGCTGCAAATGTCAATTTTGATGGTTTTTAATATCTTGTTCTGCTCATCTGAAACGTTTGGGTCTGTTTCTTCCCGTCTTGTTTCAGGCGTTCTGTCTACCAGTCTGAGATGAGGTGTGTTCTGGTGGAAATCAGGAAGCGACAAAGTAAGTTTGAGTTTGGAGGAGAGAATAGACAAACAGATTGATAAAGTTCCTCTGTCTGGATTAGTGCTGCAGTTTCTCAGAAACTACAAATCCCATTAGAGACATGGTGTTGGTCCCTGAATCCTTTCAATCCCTTCAAAGCTTTTCGTTGCTGTCATTATTTTCTCATTATTCTAATCATCTTGTGTTTCTGATTTGTTCGTCTGTGTTTGTTCCAGTTGAAGCCACAGTGACCTGCACCCAATCCACAATGAAGGTTGAGGTTGACAAAGCTTCCTTCTTTGGACTCCAGGAGGATCATCTTCGCCTCAGTGACCCCAGCAACACCGTCTGCAGCCTGCAGAGACACTCCAACAGCACTCACATCGTCGCCGTCATTCCCCTCAACGAATGCGGGACTCAGATCGAGGTGAGAGCCGTTTGACACATCACACTCAGTCAGTTACCTGTTTAACACAGACCGCTCCCTCTGCAGGAAGACGACGACTACCTCATTTTCAAGAATGAGATCACCACTAAGGAAGACGACCCGAACAAGCTGATCACCAGGAAGCACCTGGTGGAGGCCCGGTTCTACTGCCAGTACCCCAAACGGGGGAATGTGACGCTGAGCTTCTCAGCTCACAGAAAGAACGTCACGGTGTGGGAGAAAGGCTTCGGCACGTTCACCTACCAGTTTGAGTTTTACCAGAGCAGTCAGTTCAACGCCCTGTTCAGCCCAAACTCATACCCACTGGAGTACGACGTGGGAGACAGGATCTACATGCGGCTGGACGCCAGCTCCTCTGTCAACAACACCGAGATGTTTGTGGAGTCCTGCAGAGCTGCACCGTATGACAACCCAACTATCATCCAACCTACTCCATCATTGAGAACGGTGAGGCGTGGCTTTCATCTGGCCGACGCATGCATGATGCTAATGCTGCGTCACCGTTAATTATAGGGGCACATTGATATTGGTCAAGACAAATTTCAGTCAGAACGATTCATTTCCACAACCGTATTTGTCCAAGGTTCAAAACTGCCAAATATCCAATACAGCAAAGAGTTTTCTTTGATTCAGTCGCGCTGTGACATGTTTGATTTTCTCGGTGCAGGTGTGGGGTTGATCCGACTGTGCAGACATATACACCTTCCAACGACAGACAGTTCCAGTTCAGCATGGAGGCCTTCAGATTTATCGGCCTGCATGATCAGGTGAGGAAGTGCATCTCCATATGCATCAGTTCACATGTCGTTGTCAAAGTCAGACAGAGTTTCAAGTCAGGTCTTCTGAAAAATCACTTGATCTGTTTGGATTCAAGGAGCTGATGTTCAATATGATGTTGAGCAGTTAGTGTTGATGATGGTACAGCTGTTTCTAATTGTGAAAAAAGGTAAATAAAATTAAATAATTTGTTGGAATACTTGCCAAGTATAAAAACACAAAGGTTAGGTTTATTGGCTCTCTGATAGAAAGTGTAGCAGAGCTCTGAAGTCACTTGACTGCAGCTCTGCTTGTTGTCCACCAGAGGGAGTGCTTTCTGTTAGTGGCTGTGTGTTTGAGTTCAGGTGTACATCAGCTGCACAGTCATGATGTGTGAAGCAGGAAACCCCAACACCAGGTGCTCCAGGGGATGCAGCAACTCCACAGGGTCCAGCAGCTTCATTCGCAGAAAGAGAGAGGCTGTGATCGAGAGCGGAAAGCACTTCGTTTCCCAGGGTCCTTTGCGTCTGAAGCGTGAGGCGGACCCCAGAGGGGGCTCAGGTAAGGAGATGGTGGCATGATGAGGTTTATGAGCAGCAGATAAAATGTGAACAGGACTCCATCAGCACCGTGTTCCTCTGGCCTGCAGCTGCCAACCTGAACCTGAACCTGGTGTTTGTGGCTGGATGTCTCCTGGCTGCTGTTGGGATGGTCTGCGGCGTCATCATCTACAAAAGCAAAACCTCCAGGGTCAAATACCAACCTCTGCCGGCACATGAAAGCTAAAGCTGCAGCATCAGCCCAACTGCTTGGATCATCTGAACATGGCATTCTGGATGTTTCTGAACTATTAATTAAATCTCTTTAAGCTACTCAGAAACCTTTGATTATTTCTCTCCTATTTGAATAAAATATTTGCTTCTGTTTAAGAAAATGTGCCTTGAGCTTTTCTTCTATGAAAGGGTCCTTTTGGTTTTATCATTTTCTGTCTGAAAATCTCAATAAAATACTCATTTCATTATTTTTGCTGTGTGTTTTCCTTCAGAAGCTACTAACATATGAAATACAGAATCTAGTGTTGCAGCCATATGTTTTACTGCTCTGTCATTAATGTAGAGAAGAAGCAAACAAACAAGTTAAAAAAGCCACAACATTGTTATTGATTTTGAAGAGATCCTGCACAACGATGTTCCTGTAATTATGATGCAAGCAGGCTCTGCCTCCCCTGCCTCACCTGACCACAGTTACTGTGGGGTTGGTCGGTTCTACACGCTTTTTTATCCTGCTTGGTTTTGTCCAACCAACCTCCTCCATCTCATTGTAGCCCACAAAAAATTATATCTTCAAAAACTTTAAAATAAAATCAAATAAGTATATATTACTTCAGCAACACACTAATAATTCAACATGGAAGTTGAGTATTTTTATCTGTACAGTTTCAGTCAATATGACCACTAGATGGAGCCAAACCTCTGTTTAAGGGCTTCATTTGAGTTTTATGAATTCTGAATGTTTCTCAAAATAATTAGGCATAAAACTGCTTTGAATTCTAATTTGTAAATGACTGTAACAAGTTTTGCTCAACTCACCCACTTAGACTGAATAAAAAGTAAACTCGTCATCCAAGTTATTTTTTAAGTTGATTAACGTGACAAAGGTGGATGCAGTTCAATTTGAAGAAGTTAAATTGGTTAGATGACATGGATTCAGATAAACGTATTTTTAGGTGCTGTTCAAAGAAAATTTATACAGCAACTTTCTTTATATTTAATCAATTTAAACTTGATTAAATATAACAAGCATTTTAGAGAAAGTGACCCAGAATCCTTTTTTTAGGTTTTGTATCTACAATGCATAACATCCATTAAGCTTTTACTGAGATACATTTACTTGAAAGAAGGTTTTGACTCTGCTGTACTTGTTACTGTTACATGATAATATTTCTGGGAAGCATCGTTCCTTCAGTAAACTGTGGGACTCCTCTAGCCACTGTGAGGAACTTCACTGAATGAAGGATAAATGCGTTTTAACCAAAGACTCACCACTTTAACTTTACTAAAAGAGGTTTGAATAAAGTTTTATATGTATTAAAAAAGGAAAATGGAAACATTTTATTATTTTTTTTTATTTCACTTCATAAGTATTTTTATAAATTACTTTCATTTTGGCCTTTAAAATTCCAAAATGTTCACAATATTTCATATTTTGGTCCATTGGATGAGTACATTTTTTTTAAGCAAATACTTTTTTCTCCTTTTACTTGAGTATTTCCTCGGTGTTTTTTGTTGTCTTTTTTACTTTCACCTGGTTAAAATATGCTGAAGTTCTCTCATATCCCACCTCTGCATTCCAGTTACTTTTGAAAAACTGAAAAGGAAAATAAGTTTTGGAGATGAGTTCCTGAGAAGCAGATGAACAGCCAGTGACGTTTCCCGGCTGGATGTTACCTGACAGGAACTGGACGCGCTGCTTCCTTCCCTCCAGTCTCCAGGCGGCCCACCGCGGGGGAACAAGCGCTCTCCTCCCGCAGACTGCCGAGGCTGCCAGGCGGTTGCGACGGCTGGAACACACGACCGGAACAACGGACCTTTTTCACTTCTGTCGGAAACACTAAGCGAAACCCCCGCGAAGGGAGTGGACTGAAGCTGGGGTTAGTGGAGCCGGAGAAAGCCGTCGCTAACGGGCCGGTGTTGGCTGAAGTTTCCCAGTGGAAGCGGAGCTGCGCCGTGATGTGGTGACGCCGCTCCGCAGCCGCATCGACGGGAAGCTAACGTTAGCCGAGGTGCTAACGCTGCTGGATACTTTCCTCCGTTCGGCAGCTTTGGAGACCTGTTTTAAGATTTTATTATTTTAAACACTTTGAAATAGATTTTATAGTATATGTTTTACAATGTTGCATACTTTTATACGAAACCGAGTATGACGTGTTTGTTCATAAATTAAAAGTAGTGAGCGTTAGCTACCTAGCAGGCTAGTAGCTGTCGATTTAAACTGACTCCAAGCCAAAGATTTCTGTTTCAAATTAGCTAGCCGCTCAGCAACAGTTTCCACGTCACCTGACTGGATCACGGTGTGTCTGTCAGTTATGAAATGCTATTTTCGATTAGAATAACTTTTTATTTTAGGGTGCGTGTGTGTTTTTGATGCGTAAAGATCGACACTTTACTTCCAAATCCAGGAATGCAATCATCGAATCACCAGCTCACTCGGGAAGCTAGCGTGCTAACACGGAGTTAGCCGGCCAAAGTTGGAATACTGCCCCCCTCTCACTGTGTGGGTCTGAGGCCTTAAGGAAAATTTATTTTTTTTTCCCTTCTAACGGACTCTAACACAGCCTTAATCCCAACCCTGAACGGAATTAAGAATTCCCGAATAACCCTGGATATTGTTGAAGACCGTTCCACAGAGTTGGACTAAGTTTATCTCCAAAACGTGGATTACAAAGGAGTTTGGATTAACGTCAAACTGCAAAGGTGAGCTATGTGTGACTGTAGCTGGATGGTGCTGAACCGGGTTTTGGATGTTCCATGATCCCTTTTCTCCAGAGGATTTATCAGAAATGTCCAGAAGCTGTCACTAAATGTTTTACGTCCAAGGATGCAGATTTCAGCTGGAAGAAAAGATGAACACAAGTAGAGACGCACCATTCAGTTTCTCAAGATTATCAGGATTGGCCGATTTTTTCTTGATTGGGTCTGATCAGGGATTTTCAGATTGAAACATTTTCTTTTCTGTTGTATATCTTTGTGAAAATTTACCACGACTGGGTGCTTTGAAAAGTGCTTATTTACTCTACAGTCCTTATTTCATTATCGTTTTTTCAGCCTGGACCACCCAGACTGAGGGAGAGGACCCTCAGCTAATAGTAAAAAATATATAGTGTTTGACAATAAACTAGGCTTTATAGAAAACATGCTTTATTACAGTGCTTTCAGTACGATTAATATGGATATTCTTTACTTCTATTTATTTTAACATACAAACAAAGTATTATTTTGCATAAAGTTACAGAACTTTTAAGTTAACAGAGTTTTTTCTCAGTGAATGCCTGCAGTATTTATTTTATAGCTCATTTGATCAATTTATTACATGTTGGATTAATTTTAATGACAAAACTTTGAATTAAAAAAGTCTAATAATGACTGATTTAGGGGTTGTGACCTCTGATGCATTTTAGAAATGATGCACTTAAATGTAGATTATCAAATCACATTTCGACCTTTTGTCCAATATATGGATTTTGAAGTTACTGAAAGATTTTGTTTGTTTTAATTTAGGCCTCTAAATTTTTTACTTTTGGGTTTCAAGTTGGTCTGAAGGTTCTTGAAGTTTGTTTGGTTCAAAACCAAACATTTAAATTCCCTTTTCTTTTGGAAGTGGTAAACTCTGAACTCAAACATGTATTTATTCTAAGATAATCTCATCTAGATTACACATCGACTTTGTCCAGATGTTAAACAATGTTGGATAAAAAGTAAAACTGTGAGGAAACCCTTTACGTAAGCAAGATGGCAGCTGACTGCAGAGCAGGAGTTTATTGTTGTTTTGTCAACTACAGGTACAGGAATCACTAAACACAGGATTATTCTAGTCAAAAAAAGAATTGATTGATTATAAGCATCTATTTTGCCGTGTGAACTATGGTAATAAATACCATCATTCATAAAGGAGCTGCTGGACCAGAGGACAGCTTCTGTTCTGTTTTGACTATGTTTCATAATACAGAGGAAACCCAATAATGTAAATGTTTTGGACTGAAATGTCAAGAATGTCTCTAGAAAATCTGAAGCATTGAGCTGTAGTTGGTAGAAGCAGTAAATAAGTTTTGATCATTTTGTGATTCGTTCATGTTCAAAACGGTTTCCTCCATCAGAAGATTTTCAGCAGATTGAATTGTCAAAGAAAACCAGTCATCTGGAAAAATCATCCAGGGAAAAGCCTGAACGCTAATAAAAGGTCGAACATCGACTGCCCGTTTTATTTTACACTCAGTCCTTTATACTCTCAGCCTGAAAACAATCCTCTGCAGTAATTGGTCAGAAGTTGTAGAAATGTTGTATCGTCTTTTATCCAAATCTTGATTTGTTACCTTTAGTTTTTGACGTACAGCGTGTCTTTACAGAGTTGCTCACCATCTGTCGCTACCTCCCATTGATGCTTAGCGACCCTCCCCCCCCACTGCTGATCCTGAGTGGCTTGACCTCAATATGAAGCGTTGGTTCAGGGTTTTTGCTTCCAGTAAATTAGGTTAAGTTTGGCTCAGTCCTCCACAAACAGCATTTATTATTGGAAGCATGCAATTCCTGATTTCAATTAATTAGTACTGACACGGTCAGTTTTGTCTGGTTAATTAGTGTGTGTCAAAAGCAAACACTTCCAGGAGGGAGTTTTTGGTTGACTGATCAGGGTTATTTTAAATTCCCTCGGCAAACCGCTGTGGGTTTGCTGCCGCTGCTCATGTAGGTATGTTAAATCCAGCTCACATGATGCTCTGGTTTGTGCCGGCTCGGTGTGTGCAGGAGCTAAACCCGCTGGCTCCAAATCCCCACAACTGTTGCTAAAGCAGCATCTTTCAAATGAACTCCAGGCTTCTTCAATTCGCTGATCTCAGTTCTTCGCTCAATGTTGGCGGTGAATGTCGGCTTGAATATTTGCTTTGATAAAATATTTTGCTTTGATGCGGTTTGTTTGAAGATCTAGATGATCAGACTTTCTTTTTCTTCTTCTTAGTCGATGTGTTGTTGGAATGACGGATCGTGTCCGGCCTCTTAAGTTTGGTGATCAAATCATCTCTGATGTGCTTTTGAACTTAGTCGCTATCTTATCTCAAATCTGCAGAAACAGGACTTGAACTAGAACATAAACAAAGCTTTAAAACCAGGGTGTACTCAGCCTTTTTTACTCTTTGGTTATAAATAAGTAAGTTGCGTTGGTGGGGCTTAATTAAAATGTTCAATCGAGTTAATTGCAGGATCAGTAATTAATTAATCACAATTCAAATATTAACAAAATAAGCAACAT